TGATTGTACTAAAATTTTTCATCATTTTTTTGAAAATAGCAGTTAACAGGGGCCAGGGAGATGGCTCAGTAGAATAAGCACTTCCCTGGCAAGCGCAAAGGCCTGAGTTCAATCCCTGGTTCTGAGAAAAAAAAAAAAAAAAAAAAAAAAAAAAAAAAAAAAAAAAGAAAAAGAAAAGAAAAGAAAGAAAGAAAAGAAAAAGAAAATAGCAGTTAATGTGTAGAATTCTCACCTTGACTAACTCTGTGTGCTGATATCTGCGATCTAAGCAACTACACTGAGGACAGCAATGTGTGATACAAAAACCATGCTTGAGTACCCATCATCTTGATCTTCTAGATGTGTACCGTTTCTAATGTTATACCAATGATTCCTATATTCTCTTTAAAATAAATTTTTAAAAAAAGGTAAAAGAAAGAAAAACAAGAGAGACAAGAGCAAAAATTTAAGCTTTCTTGAAAACAAGTGGTAATATGCAATCATATGTCCCATCTTACATAACTATATCTATTAACCTGAGCAATGGATTTAATGAAAAAAATAGACAATATATCAACCATTGTTAATCAGCTATTCTTGTCTTAAAAATGTGTAACATATGGTAGGAAGAATGTATGCAATTTGTTAATTATTGAAACTGTCCTACCAATTTGGTTTGAAAAAAAAGAGCATGTCTGCATCTTGTCCTCTGAATAACTCCTATGAAGACAATATGCAATGTATTAATTATTGTAACTGTCCTAAGCTGTTTAGAAACTGTTTCATTGCTACTTTTTCCTATTAAAATGAATAAAAATTTAAAAAAATTGTAACATATGTATTGTTGTACATTATCCCGTTTCTATCTTTGCTTCTGATTTTTGTTCTTGCTTTTGTTTTTACTTTTCAAAAATAAAATTTAATTAAATTTTAAAAAAAGGGGCTGGAGAGATGGCTCAGTGGTCTAAAGCACCTACTTGAAACAAGCTTGGCAAAGCAGAGGGACCGCGGTTCGATCCCCAGCACCACATGCCAGCCAGACCCGCCCCCTGGTGGGCTGAGCTGGCCACACACACACACAATAAATAAATGTAATAAATAAAAATAAATAAATACTTAAAAAAATTTTTAAAAAAAGATGGAGGGCAAAAAAACCTGAGAAGCCAGATAGTAAAGAGAAGAAACCCAAAGCCAAGAAGGCTGCTGCCAGTCATACTAGTAAAAAGGGTAATGTGAAGGCAAAAAAGCCCAAGAAGGAGCAGCCCCACTTCAGCCAAAATCCTGTCCTGGCTAGTGGAATTGGTAGATGCTCCCGATCTGCTATGTATTCCACAAAGGCTTTGTACAAGAGAAAGTACACAGCTGCTAAATGGAAGGTTGACAAGAAAAAGGAGAAGGTTCTTGCCACTATCACAGAACCATTTGGTGATGACAAGAATGGTGATACCTGTGTGACTAAGCTTTGAAGAATGCCTAGATACTGGCCTACTAAAGATGTGCCCTGTAAGTTCTTGAGCCATGGCAAGAAACCCTTCAGTCAGCATGTGAGGAAACTTCAAGCTAGCCTCACTCCTGGCACTATCCTGAATCATCCTTACTAGGCATCACAGAGGCAAGAGTGGTCTTCCTGAAGCAGTTGGCTGGTGGCTTGCTACTTGTGACTGGGCCTCTTAGCCTTAATCGTGTTCCTCTACCAGAAATTTGTCATTGAAAATCCCCAAACACCTCACTAATGCGTACTTCAAGAAGAAGAAGCTGCAGAAGCACAGACACCAGGAGGGTGAGATCTCTGACACAGAAAAAGAGATATCAGGGCCGGGGAGATGGCGCAGTAGAATATGCCCTTCCCTGGCAAGCGCAAGGGGCTGAGTTCAATCCCCGGTTCTTCAAAAAGAAAGAAAGAAAGAAAAAGAGATATCAGATTTCAGAGAAGCTCAGGGAGGGTCAGAAAGCAGTAGACTCACAGATTTTACTGAAAATCAAAGCTGTTCCTCACCTCCAGTGCTACCTGCGATCCGTTTTTGCTCTGACAAATGGAATTTATCCTCACAAATTAGTGTTCTAAATTTCTTACTGAGAACCTGATTGAATAACTAATACATTTTTTAAGAAAAGTAACAAATTGTAGAAACTTGTAAGACTAAACTATTGACTGCCAATACTAAGTGGTATGTGTTGGGGGTCTATTGCAGTTTTCTTTGTACTTTTACTTTTTAAAATGGTAATAATTTTTGTGATTTTTTTCCTGCTGAAATTTTTCTTATAAATGAAAATCTTTTTCTTCTGAAAAATATTTGTTAATTTTTTTTCTTTTTATAATTTGTGTGATACTGGGAATTGAACCCAAGGCTTCCTTCTGCACTGAGTTATATCCCTGGCCCTGTAAAAATATTTTGAAAATAATTTTGAAATAGGATTACTCTACACTGCTAAGGTGCCTTGGCTGGGCTTGAACTTGCAATCTTCCTGCCTCAGCTTTCTTTTTTAAAAAAAATATTTATTTATTTATTTGGTACAGGGTCTCCCTATGCAGCTGTCTCAGCCTCCACAGTTCTGGGGAGTGTGCCACCACACCTGGTTTCAGGGTGGTGGGGCCAGCATGACAGGTGGTACCCGGGATTGAACTTAGGTCCTTGTACTTCCCAGACAGGTGCTTGGACCTCAGAGCTATCTCCTCAGCCCAAAAGAAAGGTGTTTTGTTTTGTTTTCCCAGCACCAGGATTGAACTCAGGACCTTGCACTTGCCAGGCAGGTGCTTATGCCACTGCTACCTCAGCTTTCTGAGTAGTTGTAATCACAGCTGGCTATGATTATGGAGAGTCCAGGAGATAGCCCAAGGCTGAACTGCTCTGAGGGAAGTGAGGTGGGGCCCTCGCTCATTCCTTTCCTATGGCAAACTCCTGGTCCCAGCAGAGGACAAACTCCCACATGGTCCGTATGGATTCAGTTCTCGGTTCTGTCCCTTGGTAGCCATGTGACACAGACAGGGACTTCACCCTGCATGCCTCAGGCTCCTCTGTAAGCATGGCAGCTGGGCTGTGGGGTGGGCTGGTGAGTCACTCAACCACCCTGACATCCTTTTCTGTGTGGTCCCCACCAGGAAGGACAAAGTGGCAGGTGTGTCCTCCAGAGCCACACTCCCACATCCCTCCCAGCACCCCACAGCATGTGGCTTACTGCACCTCTGTTCCACAGATCTCAAAGTCAGTGTGCAGGGAAGAGAAGGCCCTGTGTCACATGGCCCACCTGTGTCTTTTGTCCTCAGAGCCTCCCATCTGGGACCAGGGACCCCTAGGAAACCCTATCCTGCCATATAAGCTGAGGGGGCTGAGTCAAAGTGAGATCAGGAAAGAATGGATCTGACAGAGGAGACCAACTGACAGAAAATCTATGCTAAATGGATTCAGGTGGTACCTGAGTATGTCTGTCACCTACTGCTGTGATAATGCTGCTTAACAAACAGTCCTCAAGTTAGGGGCTTTAAACAATGATCACCCTTCTCCTAGCTGTGGGTCTGCAGGTCAATAGATCTGGGATGGGCAGATATGATGCCTTTTCAGACTTGGGTCATTTCTAGCTCTCTTTCTGTTGGGAAGAAAGAGGCTTCAAGGGAAGTCCCACGGCCAGTGCAGCTTTGGTGGGAGGGAGGAACTGCGCCTCCCTGAAGAGTGTCAGTGGCTGAGAACAGGGACACAGTCTACTACCTGCTCCCTGCTGCCATATCACCCCAAACGCGTCTGGTCTTATCTGAATCAGTGTCAGACTCAGAGGTGGAAGGCTTCTGGGTAGCCAGAGGTGGCAGGACACGCACATGTGCCCATGTAGAGGCACAGAAAGACACTCGGCCAAGGACAGAGGGGCAGGAGAAGGGAGGGAGAGAGAAGAGGCGGCAAGGAGGAGCTAGTTAATTTTTGATCAAACTCGAAGATACTAGATAAAACCCTCTCGCAGTACTGTATTTTTAGCGCTAAATGGTGCTAAAAGCCTTTTCCAGCACCCTTTACAGCAGGAGAGCTGCTTAGTTGGGGAGCAGAAGCCACACTGTGCTGAGTCACTTAGGTTTCTCACTGTGCCTCGCCCAGTGAGTGCACTTTCTGGGAAGATGGGCCACTTCCCCCTGCAATCATGTTTGTTGTCCCTGAGCCATTTTAAAAGGATGCTTGCCCCTGGGGAGAGCCACACACAGCAGTCAGCCTGCAGCCTAGCTAGGCTGTAGCATCTGAGGTGGGGAAGGTAGGATGCCAAGCCATTTCTATTTCTTCCAAAAGCAGTACAGGCAGCCAGCTTCCTGGAGTCCAAGGGACCCTGAAGGGTTCCTGTGCACAGGCCTGAGACGTTCTTATTCCTAAGCAGAGACAGGAGAGCTTGTCTCACCATTCCTGCATGCAGTGTGACACCTGTGTCCTGGCAGCCTCCTTGTGCTTCTGAGGGACCTTGCCTAGGGCAATGCTCACATCTAAGGAGCTTCTGGGTGCCAGGCAGCTGTGTGGAGCATTCGGCTTTGGCTGAGTGTTGCAGGCCTTCTGGGTGGTCTGGGAGCTGTTAGAATCAAGCCTATTCTACCAAATGGGTAAGGTGGCAGGGTCAGAGGATGGAGGCACAGGATGAGAAGTACTATGGAATCAGAGGCCTGTAGGGCTGGAGGATGTCCCATTGGGGCTCTTGCTGCACCTCCAGAGCCTTTCTGTTGGGACTGGGGCTCCAGAGTCAGGCTGGTCACTTCCTTCCCAGCCAGAGGCAGCGCAGGGGAACTGGGAGGCAGGCTGCAAGGGCAGGTCTGGGATGCCAGAGCCCTGGGGTGTGGGAGGTGGGTATAGCCACAGCCCACCTGGAGCACAGAGATCAGGGCTGCAGGGAGCTGGGAGGAGAGCCAGCTGGTGGCAGGCACAGGATCCAAGAGAGAGGGCCTGGCTCCTACCCAGCATTGGGCTCTAGGGGGTTCCAGGGCAAACCCAGGAGCCAGGAAGAAAGACAGACTGTGCCACCTCAGGAGGCCTGTCCAGCCATGACCACCCTCACTCTTCCTAAGAAATTATACAGAACTTTATTAAATAAAACAAGGAGAAAGGACCTTATGGACATCCAGGTTGTCAGTGTGAGCTCAAGTAGTAGGCAAGGCACAAGCCGTCTGCTCTCCGGTTTCTACACATCACTGCAGCCCAGCCAGAAGGACCAAGGAGTTGGTGTTGCGGTATCCCCATGGCCAGTTCTGGGTAGCCTCCAGGTCTTCCTGAGAGTGGCATGGCTTCCTGGTTTGCAGCAGGACCCCGTACTCCCCAGGTTTCAGAGCTGACAGGAGCTGAGTAGAGGAGGGCTCCTAGCTTTCGCACTGCTCCAGGGTCAGCTGAGAAGCTTCCTGGGGCCTGGGCTGAGCAGGGAGAGGCCACCTCCCCCTGTGGCTGGGCGGCAAAGGCTCAGATCTGCTGAGGTACTGCAGTGTCCACCTATGTGGGGTCAGTTGACACCTGGTCTTTGTGCTGACGTGGAACACAGCGGCTTCACAGAACAAATGGGGTAGGAGGTCCCTACTATCAGCCTGAGGATGGATGTCCCCATGCTGTGGAGGAGCCGGGGACAGAATAGGGGGGGTCCCCACTGGGGATGGCCCAGAAGGGACAAAGCCACATCCATCAAGTGTTTCAACAGGTTCTGAAGCACAGGATCAGAGGACGGATGGCTCTTCACAGTGGTGCCAGATGGCTCAGCTATCCAGGGGCTCAGGGCGCTGTGACCTGAGGCTAAGGCGGGCAGGCCTGGGGCAGTTATGTCTGTTTGCTCCTATATTTCCTAGCAGCAGCCAGACTAGGAGATGTTCTCACAGGTGGGAAACCCGTAACAAGGGTCAGGGAGTAGCTCAGTGGTAGAGCACTTGCCTAGAATGCTCAAGGCCCTGGGTTTTATCCCCAGCAACACACACACACACACACACACACACACACACACACACACACACGCACATGCGCACCCCAACACCCCACAGCAACTAGAAAATCTTTCCCTGAGATCACTATAGTAACATCATCTTCAGATGCCTTCTAACTAGAGTTTGCAACGCTTACAAGTCCTTAGGAGGGAGTGGTTGTAGCAATGCTAATAAGATAAAAACACAATGGGAACAGTGTCCAAAAGCCTAGACAGCCATGCCTGGAGGAACGAGCCAGCCAGTCCCAGCTCTGCAAGGCTCAGAAGGGACACTTCCTTGTTGTTTGAGACAGGGCCTTGCGCTATGGTCCCTGCTGGCCTTGGACTTTTTGTCCTCCTGACTCAGCTTCCCAAGTGCTGGAGTCCTAAGTGTGCGCCACCACATCCAGCTCTGGAGGGGAAATAATGAAAAGCAAATGTACAACTCCTACGAGGCTGAGCTAATAAGCACAACTAGACCTCTGCTCTACAGATGCGAAGGGGCAGCAAGGGAGGATGTGGCACGGGGCACAGGACTCGAGGGCCTTGTTCCAGCACAAACATGGCAGGGGTGTCCCTGCGGTCAAGGCATCCATGCGAGCTGCCATCAGCACCGGGTTCTAGTCGCTGGCTAGCGGGAGGCGTAGGCTGGGCTCCAGAGCCCTGAGCGAGGACTGGCTTTGCGAGCAGGAAGTGGTTCATTGAAGGGGGTTGGAGACGAGGCAGCAAAATCTGGAAGATAGGAAGTGAGCAGCTCGGGTCATTGGGCATCGCTCCAATACACACTAGCCAGCTCTAGCATCTCTGAAGTGCTCGCTACATGCATGGGACGCTGCCCTAACCCAGACCAGAGGCTTCCCCGGGAGCTTGCAGAGCTGACTCACGGAGAGCAGACACCGAATCTGCAGCACTCAGCCTGTGTAGCTGTCCGGAGCAGTCCTGTGTGTCTCCTGATTCCGCTCAAGGGTCTGCTCTGCCTTGCACAAGATAGCTAGGAGCAAGCTCCCAGGAGGCTGCCAGGGCCTTGAACAGGCTCCAAGGACACCTAGACATGTTTTGTGGAAGGAAGCCCTGTTCTGAGGCATGAGACTCCACACACATCCGGGTGCCCTGGCCTCGGCCTCCTGCTGCAGGCTCCCGGGTATGAGGGATACCCAGCGCTCCTGGACTGCTAAGCAGGCTTCTGTTGCAGCTCTAATGTGCCATGCAGGTCCTACAGGGGTGCTAACCTGTCTGATGATGCCTCGGTTTGTGGAAGTTACCCTGAGATCTCTGTAGTGTGCCCAGAAGACCCAGAGCCCTTGCTCCTCCAACAGACTGCCTGAGGCACAGGCACACCAGATGGGCTGCCTCTGTCCCCTGTGTACCCGAAGTACAGACAGAGGTCAAAGCCTAACACTCCCTCCAGCTAAGGTTGGGCTTGGCAGGGCCTCCAGCTAGGGGTGCTACTCACAGTGGTGTAGGCTGTGCTGTGGGCTGGCTTGGGGCGTGAGGGCTCGAGGTGCAGTGAGCTCCCGGGGCGTGGAGACCGTGTGGTAGGCTGCAGGAAGCACAGCTGGTTAGGGTTGGAAGGTATGGGACAGACTGCCTGGAAAGGCAGGTGCCTGTCTTACCTATGATCATGACTGCAGTCCCGGCCAGCAGGGCAAAGAGTGTGAAGAACATGACTTGGTAGGAATCGAGGAAGTGCTGAAAGAGGCTACTGCCATCTGTGGCAATAAAGAGAACAGTCAGCAAGCACCCCACGCCCCAGGGCTGTCCCTGGTGTCCCTGTGCTGCTGGGCATCCTGGTGTGAGGTCCCACCTACCCTGCCCCAGCAGGAACAGCATGTGCAAGCCAGCCTTAGACAGGATGCCAGGGAGGTTCCCAGGGTGTGGGGCCTGCCCAAGGCGGGGTAGTCCTGTGCTGTTGCCCTGGGGCTCCACCCCTCCTCTTTGAGACTGTCCTGTCAAGACTCAGTGTCCTTGTGGGTGTGCTCTCCTGTCACCACACAAGGTTGACATGTGGGCTTCTGTACCTGCTCTGCCAGAGAGAACCAGGCTGCTCTGAAAGCATGGGAGGTAGTTCTGATAAAGCCCACAAGTGGTTCTGCCTGGGGGACCATGGGGAGCCCAGTGCTTCCAAGCCAAAACTGTGCTTCCCAGGAAGCCGGGCTAGAAGCAGCCTCCTCCTCTTCCCTTGTCCTCAGCCACATACTCTGACCCCACCCAGGACCAAGTGCTGCCTTGCTGCTCCCTCCTGCTTCCCTGAACCAGGAGAAAGGCACAGGCTCCTCACTCACAGTGGTCGGGCCCACCTGGCCCCCTCCACCTCCTAACGAGGTGGCCAGTGCTGCCCAGGCCCCTGCTCTGTTCACGAAGAAGCACCCCCCCCCAACCGCTACCCCAGCATCTGTGGAGCTGGATGCATGGCCCCACCCTGACCACTCATCCTTGAGGAACAGCGACACAGCCTTTCTGTGCTAGCCCCTGCTCCCCACAGAGCAAACAGGAAGCCCTTTCCTCGGCTCAGCTTCAGAATCATTCTTCCTGCTCGCATGTGCACTTTGAGTCCTCTCTAGAAGGGGACCTAGCTTTTGACAAGTGCCAAGCAGTGACTATGCAATAAGCAGCCCGCTTCACCCAGCACTGCGTATATGGCAGGGCCCTGCCCTAACTGCTGCCCCCACATGTCTAGCCTCTGGCTGCAGGTGTTGTGCAGGGACCCTAAGAATTAACTGTTTACCCTCAAGACTGACAGCTGGCAGCTGCACAAGAGGAAAAAGAAAAGGGCCAGGTGTTGGGAGCTTGGCTGGGATTTCCAGTGTGAGCCCAGATGTAGTATCTGAGGGTAGGTTTGCAGGACCAGAGTGTACAGGTCAAGGGGTTCACTGGGGGCAACACCCCAGGCAGAGGGGAGATGGAGGCCAAGGGCTCCTGATCTGGAAATGGGAAGAGTGTGGTGGAGCAGGGTGTGGGCAAGTGAGAGGGAGTAGAAGGCAAGGGCAGAGGGCCTGGTGCCTTGGCGGCTGCTGAGCCAAGGAGACCACCTTGTGGGAAGAGCTGGGGCAGCGGGGGCATGGTGACAGCCACCTCGAGGGATGTCTGGCCCTGAACTCCTTCGGTTTTCACACTGTGGGTTTCTACTGATACCCAAGACTGAGCCAGCCCACCACTCCCTGTCCCACTCTGACTCACAGGGACCAGGTCCACGGCGGTCCATCACGAAGGCCACGGTGACAGGGATGGTGAGGGCCTGGTTAGTGGTGGGGCTGGAGAACGTCAGGGATGTGGACAGAGGCCCCTGGCTCCCGGCTGCAGGGTCTGAGATGCCAACTACGAATGTGACGAAGCTGGGAAGCCCCAGAGATTTCTCCTTCATGAAGGCCAGCACAGCTGGGGACCCAGACTTCACCTGGGAGAAAGGTCAGGGCTGGGGCTGTACATTCTACACAGCAGGCCACCTGAGCCAGCAGCCCTGGAGTGGACACAGGGCCCTCCCTTCCTGGGCCCAGAGGGTCCTGGTTCCAGGTTGCACCTCCTGGACACAGGTGCTTAGAACACTCTCCACAGCCAGCGTGAGGCCTACAACGCTGGGAAGCACTGCCCACATGTGGTACACTACAAATTAGTATCATGGACGTCTAATCAAGCATTGTTTTAAGAAATGCTAACCCAACATGCAGTACCAGCCTCCCAGGGAGCAACCTGTGCTGTGTTTGTGGCTTCTCATGACAGTCCCTGACCAGATCTGGCAGCCCTTGCCCGTAACCACGCCTCACTCCTGGTCCCTGTCAGGAGCAGTGGCCATCGTGGGACACAGGAGGACAAGCAGAAGAGCTGGCAAGCACTTCAGCCCATTCCCCCATGACTCCCCAGGTATAGCAGCTGCAGGCCTCAGGGCCCCCACTCCTGTGCAGCTGATGGAAGGGAGGCGCGAGGCAGGAGGCCTGTTCCCAGGAGAGGTCAGAGCAGCTCCTAACTTACCTATCACCCTGAATGCTAAGTACACTCTGAACTTCCAGTTGCAGAGACAAAATAATTATTGAAATTATATAGGTGGCTGGCATGGGGGTACATGCCCATGATCCCAGCTACTAAGGAGGCTGAAGCAGGAAGAGCCCAAATTTGAGGCCAAGCCGTGTACCTTCCTAAGACACTGTCTCAAAGTAAAATCTTTTTTTTTTTTTTTTAAATGTATTTAGTACAGGGTCTACAGGGTCTCACTAGACAGATCAGACTCTTAGTGATCCTCCTGTTTTCAGCTTCCCAAGCACTGGGATTACAGGCACATGCCACATGCCCAGTCTCAGTTGCTGTCTCAGCATGCCCCTAGGAGCAGGGCCAGCATGGCACACCAAGGATCAAACCCTGTCTCTGCACCTGCCTAAGCAGGCATTTCAGTCTGCTGAGCTATCTGGCCGGCCCTACAAAGTAAAATCTTAAACAAGGATTGGGAATGTAGCTCAGTAAAGTGCTTGTGTGGCATGTGTGAGGCCTTCATTTGAATTCCCAGCATCACCAAAAAGTGTTTTTTAAATATACTTAGATGAGTAGAGGAAAATAGTGTTAAGGAAAATCAGTAAGGGTGAGAGTGCTCTGAGTTTGAAGGAGTCCAAGCCAGGTGTGGTGGTACACATCTGCTGTCCCAGCCTCTGGATGGCTGCAGCAGGGGGCTCACAAGTTCCAGGCTGGCCCGGGCTACAGTGGGACGCTATCTACAGAAATACATCTTGCTTTAATTTTACAGACATGTAGCCTTAGCACCCCGATCCTCCTGGTTCTTCTCCACGACTCAGGCTCTGGCCTGAGTAGAAGTGTGGGGATGTCTCTCACCTCCAAATTCTCCAGGGTCTCTGCAGCCCCAAAGACCTTAACCTCAGAGCTGCTGTAGTGGTTGCTCAGAAGGATTTCAGCCTGGTCAGTGTAAAGCCCGGGGCTGAAGGACACCTCTGCCTCCACCTGCTCCAGAGAGAAGTGGCTGCTACGCAGCGAGGCGGTGACCACCAGCACCACTGTCTTGGTGCTCAGGTGCTTCAGCTGCAGGTCTGTCAGTCTGAGCATGGTGACGGAGCAGATGTACTGGCCTGCAGAAACAGAAGCATGCCGCCTCATCTCCTCCACCCCTGTACACAGGCACTGTGCCCATCCCTGCTCCTCTCATAGGGAACTCATGCATCCTCCAGAGCCCAGGTGGGAGGTCGCCTCCTCCAGGAGGCTTTCGGCAGTCCCCAGCTTGGACAGCCTCTCTGTGAACGATGGTGCCCCTCACTATTTCAGAACCCCAGCCTCCCAGCCGAGTGGTGATCCTGGGGCAGGAAGCACATTGCAGCCAGCTGGCCAAGGAGGGCAAATAAACAGCAGATATATCTATGCCCTGGCATGGGGCTGAAAGTCCAGCCAGGGCTGACTGTGAGATGGCCTGCGCCCTGCTACAGCTGGGGGCTCTGTGATCTGTCACTACTTGGACTCCAGTTCTATTTTCCACGCTGAACCACAGAACAAACAGGTGCTTGGGAAGGACACCTGGGACCTAGATGCCTGGGTGAGCCAACTTCTTGCAGTCTGCTGCATGAGGCTTGAGCCCAGGCCCCACACTGAGGAGACCATAGACATATCCGCTGTCCAGCAGACATGGCACACCCTGGGTTCTACACTCTGGTTCCCAGGGCTGCAGAACAGCTATACCTACCACATGTCTGGTATAGCCCCTGACTAGAGAAAGGGACTCCAGCCCAAATTTGGTGGCTCTGCATCCTTCTCCTGGGTGTGGGTGGCCATGGAAGGCCAGCTATGACCTGGCTCAGGAAGGCCAACCCCTCTTCATGTACCAAGAGCCCACAGAGGCCAACTTGGGCCAATGCCTGAGCTGGATTCTCAGCATCCTCCCCCTGCTGGGCAGATGCCCACCATGAACCACAGCAACTGAGATGCCCACAAGACAGAAGGGCACTTCCAGATCTCTGAGGTTTACCCAGAGCACTGTCAAATCCTGGCTCCACAGTGAAGATGTCCTGTGCTGGGAAACTGAAGATGTCTTGCTTGAAATGGAACTGGCAGCTGATAAGCGATTCAGGGTGCAAGGTTTCGATGATTTCTCTCTGCACGGGGGAACATTCACCTGCAGAGAGGGAAGTGGTGAGGAGGGCTGTACAAGGGCTGGCAGGGCTTCAGAGGGCATCTGTGCCCAGATTCCTGCCCCCCACGGGCACCTGGACTGTTGGCAGTTTGGTGAGGGGTGTCGTGGCTTTTCATAGAAACTGAGGGTAAGTTATGCAGAAGGAGGTCACCCAGAACCCAGGAAATTCCAGCTCAGAATTCTGCATGGGCTCTAAGCTGGCACCGAAGGCCACAGCTGATGGCCAGGCACACTGACGCACACTGTGCGCTCCTGACACCAGGGGTAATGAGCGATTTATTTTCGGACATTAGGAGGGCAACAGTTCTCCATGAATATCCCAAGAATCACTTTGGTGGCAGCAGAGTATAGTCCACTTGCACCAAAAAGCAGGAAAGGAGACAGTGTGTAAAGAGCCTATACCATTAATCACAATAAAAAAGTGTTTAATTCTATCAGTCAATTGACTTGAAAAAAAAAAAAAACCAGCAGCCTCTATTGAGTTATTTATTTCTAACAGCTGCTATACAGGGCTGTCATGGGCAGGCAATAAAGTAGAATGCTCTATGCGTGGTTGGGGAGAGGTAACTATAAAAACCAAAACCAGCGACCCTTCTTGCTAAGTCATTAGTTTCCCCTATTAAAGATGGCAAATTGCAGCTTTCTTAGCTCCTGTGCCCTAGGGCTGATGGCATCTCTGACTCAGAAACAGGCAACTGCTGGGAGGGGGCTGTTTGACAAAGACCTTTTTCACGGGCCTGGCTTGCGTAGGCCTTGAATTGCTAAGAAATTGCAAAGAGTGGATGAGCCAAAGCTAAAGGCTCTTTCTGGGGATCAGGGTGAGTTTGACTGAGAAAAGCAGGGCAGCAGGTGGAGCTCAGTGGCACAGCCTTTGTCTAGCATGAGTGAGCCCCAGTCTTCCACCCCCAGCACTGACAAAAGCAGATGCAAGGGTTCAGGAAGCCACTTTTGGGTCCTCCCACTCGGCAGGGCTCTCCCCAGGCCATTCCAGCCCCGCTGTGCTCCGGACCTCTTAGGTTTGAATTTCTGTCTCCCACGGTGACTATCACTCGGGAGGCTGTGGCCTCTTGGAAGCTGGTCTGGGCAGAGTGGACGCGATGGGCCACAATTTTCTTTGGGACGCTGACCATCACCTAGGAAGGGGGCAAGAGAACCTGGTGGTCACAGGCTGTGTGCCAGCTGGGCTGGGCACTTCCACAACCTCCCACTCCTCCCAGGAAGCCCTGTAGCTCCCAGGCATTATCAGATGCAGCACTGCAGGTGGCTCACCAGAGGCTCCTGCTGGCCAGTGCAACCTCCTCCTGGAGTCCCACAGGTCCTTGAAGGACTGACCGAAGCTGCCCGCTGCTGCTCTGACCTTGGCTGCCACCATGCCACCTTCTCGTCTACTCCTAACCAACACCTGCTGGTCTTCTTTCCACTTCTCCAAACTCCCTGGCTGTCACCAGACCCTTCTGCCTAGGCCCTGTTCCTAACATACCCCACCTCTGCTCAGGGACATGGTCATCTCCAGCCTTCTGCATGGGGCTCCAGATGTGCCACCCAGCTGTTTCCCGGCTTCATATGAGGCATGGGGATGCCCTCTTCAAAGCCACTGGGTCCCTATCTTTTCTTGACCACCCTCTGGGCTCCCCTCCCAGAGCAAAGACCATCATTCACCGGATTGTCCCTACTGGACCCGGGAGGCACCCCAGGCCCTCCTTCCCTCATCCCCCCTTCCACAGTGCCCAAGCTAGGGTGACATCCAGCCCAAACCCACTTGGTCTGCATGCCACCCACCACTCCCCACCCCCTAGTCCTGGATGAACTTTACCCTCAGCACTGGGACGCTCGCACTGCAGGTAACCCTTCCAAGACATACCCTGGTCTGTACCATTCTGCCTAAAGCAAGCCTACCAAGCCCACTGGGCCTTGCCTCTGCTCAAGGCAGGCAATGGCAGCAGCTCACACGAGAGGCGCACAGCAGATACTGAGCTCACACGAAGGGCATTCCAGCAAGTTTCATCTTCCTAGGGAAACTGAGGCACGAGGATAACTTGTTCCAGGTTACACAGCTGTGCAGTGCCCAGGATGGGCTCTGAACCTTGATAGCATGGCTCTGGACCTCTCAACGCTTTTTCAGGGGGTGGGGATCATGCTGTCCTACCCACAATGGTCTCAACTTTCTGGGCTTCTGTGTTCCTCCTGCTGAGATGACAGGCAGACCTAGCTGGCCCACACGTCACTCAACCACAAAGCCAGACCTGAGTCTCTGCTCAGACCTCACCCATCTGGATGCAGGTGACCCCCTTCTTTGACCACTCCAAGGGCCTCTTCTGGGAAAGCACCCCATCATTAATCACAGAACACCTCTCTCTGCAACCCACCTGCCCAAACCGCACAGTCTCAGTGCTAAATATGCAAACTATTAGGTTAAACTGCTGGATTCGATAAAGCACACGCTGGCTCTCAAAATGAGATGCATTTGGAGCTCAGCCAGACTGGGCTCATTGATTCATTCTCTGCTGGAGATAAATGCGAGAATGGTTTTCATTCGCCTCCAGAAAGACTCCAAAGGTGATGTGCTGGGGGAGATTTAACTGCTGAGACACCGAATGTCTGGGCTGCCCTGCCCACGTCCAGTGCTCCCTCAGGGATGTGCTCCCCCCATGGTGCATGGCCATGCCAACTGGGCCCTGTGGGTGGGAGCTGGAGTCACCACACCAGTTGGTGCATGTCATGGGGCCTGGGATCATGCGCTCAGCCTAGAGGTAGCAAGTGGCTGCTTCTGAGCACCATGGACGGCTCCCAGTGGTTTGAGTCTTTCACAGCAAAGGGAATCATAAGACAGAAATGGCAGCCACTCCTGCAGCCACAGATTCCACGCATGGTGGATCAGAAGTATTCCAGGGGAAAAACTGTGTTTGCCTAGAAGACGCACAGCTTGGCTTCCTTAATCACAGCTCCACACAATACGGTCTGACAACCATTTCCATAGTATTTACATCCTATCAGGGTTACAAGCAATCTAGAGATGACTTCAGACACCTGGCTGCTTCACCACTGCACTGTCACCTGACCACAAAGCCAGACCCAAGTCTCTGCTCTGACCCAGAGACCCAAGGATCAGATGCACCCACAGCAACCTGCACCCCAAGGATCTGTGTGCCTGCAGGTACTGGGACCCAGGGAACGCTGCCATGTACTCCCTGAGGATGAGACCAGTGCCCTGTGCAAAGACAAGGTATCCACAACTTGGGCCATGGGATTCACAGCCTCTAAGAGGCAGCCGCACCTTGTAGGCTGTGAGCCACGTGGACCTCTGACCAGCCTTGACCCTTACCTCTTTGTAGGTCCTCAGGTGCCCGGCAACCTCATAGTAGACTGTCACAGGTCCCACGTCCTGGGCCACAGCCACACCTGTCTTTGAGTCCACGTGGAGGATGTTGCTAGCAGAGGAGCTCCAGGTGCCTGAGATGCCTGAGAGGAAGCCTGGTGCCAACTATAGGCCACACCTCTGGGCGCTGCAGCCAAGGCCCAGCTGGCTGGACCACTGTACCAGCCTCAGTAGAGAGCCCTGTGCCACTGCCCTCACCCTTCTACCACTATACACCTGCTCTGGGTGAGGTGCCAGGTCCCAGGCCACTCGCACCCCACCGACACTCCCTGTCTGGAGTCTCCCACCCTCGGGGGGCTCCCCCTGATGCCTAGCCTGGGATAGCTGGGGACTGTCCATCCAGCATTCCACACAGCACAGCTCCCAACTGTTCCCCCCTCACTATCAGGGCCTTTGAGCAAACAGAAAGCAAGTGTCAGGCCCAGAACCTCGACTGCACTTCTGGGTTCCAAGTCAATCACACCCACACAATAAACTTGATTAAAAAACTTAACAACCTTGTTCTATTTATGGCAGATTATATTTGTTTTTCTTTAAAGGTGGTGTTTAATGTCTTCTTAAGATGAATTAATGAGGCAATTGGAAAATAAAAATTAAGCAAATAACTGAGCCTGAGTTCCCGACTGTCGTGTGGCTGACATTTGAAACCTCTAGCAGCCCGATGACTGTTTTTGCTTGTGTGTTCTAGAGCAGTGCCATTTGACTCAGCAGCCACTGGCCATGCAAATCACGGAAGTGACAAACTCAGTTTCCTAGGAGAGTTAGCCACATGCCATGTGTTCACTGGCCAAACACTGGGTAGACAGTGGGAATGTGGGACATTTGTATAATCCCAGAAGATTCTACTGGACACTGCTGTTCTAAGGAGAGGCTGGCGAGCTCTCTACAAAGGACCAGAAGGTAAACAGCGTGGGTCAAGCAGAACATATGATCTCCCTGTAGCTGGGTGCCAATATACGTGGATTTGCAAGACACAGACAGCATGTGGCCCCGCTTCAACCGCTGCTCCAGAGTGCCCTCTACAAGCTCTACCTGTGTGTCTCCCATGATAGGCCTCCAGCCCCCTCTTGGCCCTGCAAGTGTTGGTGACTCTTACCTTCCAGGCCAATGAGAACAGTGGTCAGGCAGAGGACGTCCCCTACCACCACGCTTCCAGACAGCTCTGGGGAGATGGCCTGCAGGACAGGCAGTGGGACATAGTCGGAGAGGCCTGGGTGCTCGGTGTCCCACACGCGGAGCAGTGTCAGGCCCGTGCTGATTGTGCGGATGACGCAGGTGTTATTGGTGGTGCCCTTGCCCATCTGCACAAAGTCATCTCTAGGTATGCAGGAGAGAGGCGGGTGTGGGCTCAGACTCAGGAGGGACACAGCCTGAGTCCTTGGCTAAGAGCTGGTCTGGCAGTGCCGCAGCAAGGGCAGTACAAGTGGTCTATGGCATCCCCTCTGACTCCTGAGTCCTGAGCTGGTTGCTACCACACAAAGGCCAGACTGACTTCTGTGGTGTAGCTCAGGGAGGGGGAACAGTGTCCCCTTTCTCCAGGGCTGCTTATGCTGTAGGCTGACATAGAGTCAACATGAACACGGGGTGCCATGACCTGAAGTCCTCACAATCATGCCCCCCATGAGATGAGGCCCCTTTATTTGCCCAGCAGGGAAAGTGATAGAGGCTTGGGGAGGTGATCCACTTTGTCCAAGCTCACAGGACCCTCAGGGTCTCAACCAAGCCTAACACCAAAGCTCAGCTCCCTCCACTGTGCAATGCCCCCAATATTGTTCTTTGATGTGCCCAGCCACACAGTGGCACATTAGTAGCAGGTCCCCTCAGAAAGGATGGCCACTGACATCTGGATGTGGCCTCTCCCTTGTGGTCTGTCCCGTCTGAGCTGGTCAGAGGACCTGGCAGGTAGCGGCTCTCAAAGCAAGACTTTCTCAGACTGCAGGGCCCTGGAAATGTGTGCTGCCAGCTACCAAGGGGACCTGGGGCAGGATGTCTGGCAGACCACGTGGCAGCCACGGCTTGTCTTCCTCTGGAGATAGCCTCCCTTCTCCTTGTCTCAGGACTAGGTTTCAGCTAGCCTTCAGCCTGTGGGAGTGCACTTGGAGCTGGCCTGGACCTGACACTCCAACACAACCCTTTCCTGGCTGCGCAGACCTGAGCAAATGGCCTCACCTCTCTGGGCCTGTGCAACTGGGCCCAGCTCACAGAGGACTGTGAGTGAGGAACAGATGTCGCCCATACCCTACCTGTTAGTGGCGAAGTTGAGAATGGAATTGTGAGCATGGAAGATGTCTCCAAAGTTGTCGTGGAAGTGAGTGGTGAAAGTCACAGTCATCCCCACTGGCAAGGCCGTCAGGGCCTCCTTGTTATGGGTGTGCAGGACAGGGCTCATGGAGACTCTCAGGTAAGAAACTGGAGATACCTGGAGAACAATGGACTGCTCTGGTGATGCCCCTGTGCTGGAGCTTGATCTTCCAGAATACTCTTCCTGAGAAGAGATGCCTGCCCCCATGGACCTGCGTTAGGGGGGTTTGGGGACTGCCTTAGGGGTTTTCAGGAAAGGAAAGGCTTCATTCTTCAGAGAAGCCTCAGCTGGGTATACAGTGCACCCTGCTTGTAATCGCAGCACTCTGGGAGGCGGAGGCAGGATTGCAATTTGAGGCCAGCCCGGGCAACTTAGGGAGACACTATCTCAAAAATAAAAAACAAAAAGGGCTGTGAAATGTAGCTCAATGCAAAGGCTCTGGATTCCATTGCTAGTATGGAAAAACAAAAACCAACCATGTTGGTTACCCTCAAGGCCAGCCAGGAGCTGCGACCTGTGCATCAAGGAGGCAAGGGAAGTGGGTCAGCTGGCAGCCCAACACAATGAAGCTGGGACCTTTGCCCCATGCCGGGCTTAGATCAATTCGTCCTGCAGTTTCTCTGCTGGAGACAGGAAAGTTACTTCTGAACTACTGTTTTATGAACCCAAATGGGCAAAATACACATCCTACCTTCACGGCAATGATGATGGTCTGGTTGGCCCCAAAAGACTCCTGGGCGGTCACTTCGATTGTGGACGTCCCGACCACAGTGCCGGACACCAGGAAGCCCCGCTCATCAATGTGCACCACGGGGATTCCCTCGGGCCCATCGAGGACGAGGTAGCTCAGCACAGCTGCGCCATCCCTTTGGGAAACAAGACAGATTTGCTGTCGCAGATGGCCTGGCTTCCATGCCTGGGGGTCCAGGCATCTGCAGCTGACTGCTCCTGGGAGACAGAAAATTGGTTGTGGCCATGAGCCCATGGGCCGCCACTGTCTGCAGCCCCATCAGTCACCCAGCAAAAAGCAAATCCAAAAACCCATGGTGCCAAGGATAGCATGCCTCCCCCTCTTCTGAGAGAGGTGCGGGGGCGGGGGCGTAGGCCAATGGGGAGCGAGTCCGGGAGGGCTGTTGGTTTCACTGGTGACATGAGACACACTGTAGAGACCGTTTGTTTCTACAGTGCATGATTTTCAATTTACTGCAGCAGGGTGGCCTGGCATGGTTGACAGAACATGGGGCTCTGAGGGGACCCTGTGCTGGGCCTGAAGCAACCTACTAGCAGCTGCATGCTTGTCTCCTCTCTACCTCAGTTTCTACAACCGCAAAGAGGAAGTGATGATCCTGCTCTGCCCTATTTTAGAGGGTTGGCAGCAGGACAAGAACCTTGAACCTTCTTGGAAGGGTTTTCAAACAACTGACACCATATGTGCACTGTGTCAGACACTAACCATGCAATATCTTATACTTTAACTAATGAAGGAAGAACACAAAAACAGGCCTCTGTTTGCCAGGGCCAGTTTCCTCTGGGTTCCGACAACTGTTGTGTCTGCCCCCAACCTTCCTCCCCTACTATCTCCTTCCTTCAAGCCTGAGGAACTCCTATGCATTCTCCAAGAGCCTGGGTTCAAGCCGCTCCCCTAACATGCTCATGTCTTGTGCTCTTTGTTAAGCTCACGCTCGGCTGTAGCACATCATGTTCTTGCAGCCCTTCCCAGCTGTCCTCCTTGAGCAGCACCTTATGTCACTCATCTTTGTCTTCCTGAATCCTAGCACAGTATTAGGCACTCGGCTGCTTCTTGGATAGATGAACCCCACACATTTCCCAATCAGTAATGGGTTGTGTGGCCCATGGAGGCCCCTGCCTGGCCACTGCACTTGGGTACAAGTCATCTAAAGGAAGGCAGCCCACAGAATCCAGGTGGCAACTGCATTTGCTCATAGCCTCTGAACCAGGGCTCCGAAGAGCCGGCTGGGGGGGTCTGGGGTGGGACCCAGATTTGCATTTCAACTTGCTCTAGGTGCAGCTGTGGTTGCTAATTCATGGGCTATGCTTTTGAGTGGCAAATCCTAGAAACACAGGGGCATTTCAAAAATTTAATACTTCTGGCTTGGTACTCACCACTCCCTTAAAATACTAGATTTCAGCAGGGAGCAGGAAAATGTGTCTGGGCTGCAGGGTGGGGAAGGGAGTCTCTGGGAGAAGGACTGTGGAAGAGCCAAGCAAACACAGGGAGGAGGAAGAGTGCTTGATTCCAGCCCAGCTCAGAAAGCCTCCCTGAGAGGCCAGCTCCTGACACCTTGACAGATGAGGCATTGGATGCAAGCGCAGCTCTTCCACCTCGCTGGAAACGAGCTGAGTCACGTACCTGTTTGTCTGTAGCTTTATAAATGAGTTGGGAGACATTAATATTTGTTCTGCTTCTATTTCAGGGTTCAGCAGCCGCAGCTTTTCAAATACCTGGAAAAGAAGGTGAGCCATATTTCCTATGACACCCAGAGTCTTGTCCAACCCAGGTGTCACATGTGCTCTTGCCAGGTGGAGAACGAGGATGAGAAAATTTCGTCCCCAGCACCTGCCACATGTTGGGAGACGTCATGGGAGGGCCGGCTCTCAGAGAGGTCTAGGTGTGATGAGAAACAGTAGGCAGGTCATGTGTGCCTGGAGAGCCGGGGTCACAGCCACGCTGTCACCAGTTAGAGTGTGCTGCCTTCCAGCACAAGGGCATGGAGAGTTGGTGCACAGCATCTCAGGGCCTCTGCCCCTCCTGTCACCAAGACATCCTCCCAGCCAATGTCATCAGCTAAGGATAGCCCCTTCCTCCTCTTTGGGTCTATCTCATTTCTTCTCTTTGTGGCTTTCTATGGGGTTTTGGGATCAGGGGAGTGGCGATGATTTTGGTCCAGCAAGTACAAGCCAGCAATGCTGACCAGATCTGAGCCAGTCACTCCCAGGTGCCCCACAGCCCTTGACAGCTCCTGGCACCCACAGATGCGCACAGGCTGGGCTCTCCGGCCCCTTCTCAGTACTCTGACCATGGCCACTGCTGCCTAGGGACCTGTGACTAAAGCTGCTGGGTGCCTTCAGTGTGGTGCACAGCTTGCCCCTTGCTGGGCAGCAGGTGCTAGGTGCTGAGCTTCCCGACTGTCTTCTCATCAGAGCAGCAGGCCATCGCTATGGCCTGAGCACCTAGTAGTATCTGAGCTGAGCTGACATCTGAGCTGACTGCCGTCTTTGCAAAGGATACTGGCCAGCTGTCCCTGCCCTCAGCTCCTGGGTGCTGACTACATAGAGAAGGCCGTTTTCTGATCTGTAAAATGAGTCTGAAGTGAATCATCCGAGCTATGACAGCCACAGTGGTGGGACTCATGTGACCTGAGCTAGCAGAGCTGGTGGGGTTTTGGTGTCAGGGGCCACCTTCTGCCAGGCAGGTATCATGCAGAGTACAGTGGTCTGGCCAACGTTGGCCAAGATGTGGCTGGCAGAGCAGACAGAGCCACAAATAGGCTGCCTCCTATGTCTTAAACATGCATTGCTTGGCTGCCCTGTTTAGATGAAGGTGACTTAGCTTCCTTTCCTATCTCAGGAAAGCAACAGTACCAGCACCATGGGAGATGGCAAGTGACACATGACATCACAGTCAGGTGGACAAGGGGGAGTGGTGGAGTCGCTGCTGAAGGGCAGATGATTCTACCACAGGGCAAAACACCACGTTTCTGGGGCAAGCTGCCCACTGATTTTCACATGGGATCTTCCTATTTTTAAATATCAGCAGCTAATTACAATTGTTTTGAAGGCTGGCATGAGCCAAGTAGACCATGTCTGGGGGCGGGACCCCACTTCCCTGCTTTCTGATTTCCTCTGATTCCACCTACCCACAGGGACACTGAGACACAGAACTGCAGGGGCCCAACTGTGACCAAAGAAACTGGAAGCTGCCTTGCATTCTCGGACAGCTGCTGGAATTATTTTATTTTTAAGCAGGAAAAATACATAGTTGTACATGTGTGTATCTGTGAATGACTACCTGTGTCTCTCAGTGGATGTGCATGTCTGTGTATGCGTGGGTGTTGTGTGTGAATAAATGTGTGCCTCTAGCCTTTCTGTGCATCTGTTTAGATGTCTATAAGCATGTGCACATGTGCGCCTGCGCAGACAGGCGAGCTGGCAGATGAGCATTTCTGCCTTTGCAAATTTGCTTCCCTGGCCCTGGCGTGGCATATGCTTGTGTTAGAGACATTTTATTGTGCCTGGGCACGGCTCAGTGTGATAGTGCTTGCCCAGAATGCACAAGGCCCCGGGTTCCATTTCCAGCACCACGGCCAATTAGGGGAAGAGGAGAAGGAGGAGCTTCCCTTTGGCCCTCCCTTCTGCAGCTGGGGATGGAACCCAGCCCTCTTACTCTTTATTTTGAGACAGTCTTGCTGAATTGCCCATGCTTGCCTCAACTTGCAGCTGTCCTACCTGGGGCCCCACAGCAGCCTGGCTTCCAGGCTGTGCTGCCTGGCCCGGCTGTCTACAGTTATCCCTTACTATTTTGTGGTTCAACTTTCATGAACTCACTGTTTCGCAGGTTTTCAAAAAATATTAATCTAAATTATTAGCAAGGATTTGTTGCTATCTTGCAGGATTCTGCAGTACCGTACAGTACTTATATGTTGTTAAAATTACGTAGGTTTACGAGTTTAGAAAATGGCTAAGAATATTATAAGTGTTCTTAAAAGTGTGGGAAAGGTTTATAAGAGTGTGGGGCTTATAAAGCCTTAAAATACGTATAAATACTAAAAAATATAATATCGCTACTTCACTGATTTTCACTTATGGCCGGTGTCTGGAACGTAACATCCATGATACGTGAGGGGCCGCTGTATTTCTTCTTGGGCAGGGTACTCTTTCCTTCTGATGTTTCATGGATGCTCTTTTCTTCTGCAGTACAGGATGACCTAAGTGTTGCCGGAGGCTCAGAGATTTCAGGGTCCAGTGAGCAGAAAAAAGTTCTAGAAGCTCAAACTGCTTTTTGAGACCAATTTACGAACTCCTCCACTCTACAGAGAACCCACAGAGCCATCCTCTTGGCAGGAGGGACAGGTTGGCAGGACCTGTGGGCCAACAGGCTCTGGGCCAGAGAACTGCCAAGCTCCATCTAGCCAAGCTCCACAAGTGTCTGTCACTTAAGCACAGGTCAGCAAAGGACTGGCACGAGTCAGGCACAAGGAGCACCAATTTCTTCCGGTCATCAAGGCCCAGTCCAGAACACAGGCTTGGACCATTTCTGGGCTCACCAGGGCCACACGCACTTGTGCTCTGTCCTCTCACCTGCTCCTCACCCACATAATGGCTGAGACACCCTGTCAACCTGAGAAATTTAGACATTTAACCTAAGTAACTCAGCAGTTCCGCATCCTGGGGTGTAGAGAACAGACCCTTGGGTCTGTTTAAACTCCAGAATGTAATGGTCAATTAACTATGTCAATTTGATAAGTTTAGAGGTTTAACTAAGAGGCTCAGCATGGGGCCAGGGTCCTTACTTTCTAAACATCTCTCTCTCTGTGCCAGAGGAGGGCAGGGAGGTGGTGTGAATGCCAGACTCACTCTGGAGCGGGTAACCTGCTTACAATGTAAGGGAGGAAAACAGGCTTGCTTCCTCCTCCTTTGCTCTTGTTGCTTTTGCTGTCTTCTGCTGCCTTGGACTGTTGCCCTCTGCCATGCTACCCTGCCTCGGAGCCAGCTGATTATGGACTGAAACCTCCGCAAACTGTGAGCTAAATAAACCTTTTGGGCATTGGGTATTTTGTCTTAACCATGAGAGAAAAGTAAATAAACCCCACATTTGGCTGAATTCCTTGATTCTCCCTTGCAGACGGGAGGGGGCAGGTCATTCATAACAGGTTCTGAGGTCTGAGCTTGGGGGCCAGTGGAAGGACTGTTGGGGACCAGGAAGGAGAGGAGGCCCTGCCTGTACCACTCTCTCCCTCACAAGTTACTAATGCTCCGCTGGATTTAGAACCGTTTTTTACCTGGATTTGGATTTCATCTGACAACTCTCTGGCGAGACTGTGCAGCTGTCCTGCCCTGGGCTCCTGGGCCCTGACCACCACCCGAAGCCCAGTCCGGCCTTTCACCCGGGCATGCACAGCCATGGCAAAGTTGTACTGTGACGGGAGTCGGATGGACGCCTGGGGAAAAGATATCAGACATGTTTGCAGGAGAAAGGCCCAGGACCCTACACTGTCAAAGGGGCAGATGCGATTCCCCAGTGCTCAGGTCCTGAGGCCTGGGCCTCCTGCTAACCCCCAGCAGCACACATAACCATTACCCCAGCAGGGTGTGTCATCACTTCCCAGGCTCCTTATATTCACCCTGGGGAGCCTAGGTCCTTATAGTAAGAGCCCTGATGCCCAGAGGGACTGGGTCTTTGTAGAGTTTCCAGGCAGAGCCTGCTATCTCAAGATATCTGTGGATGAGTCACATGGTCATTGTCCTATGTGAACATATGGGAAGTCCCCAGTACTGGGGACAAGACCTGGCCCCACCAGTGGGAGAAGCATGGGGTTATCCTGTATAATGCACTCAGGGACACCTTCAGGAAATCCTGTCCCTATACTTGCTCTTCCCAGGACTGCAGCCATGGTTCACAGGGGCCACGCTGACCTCAGTGAGCACATATCCAGCAATGAAAGGCTTGCCTGCCTTCCAGCTTTCAGACCAGAGGGGCCAGGCACCCTGGGCAAAGCTAACAGAAGGGGGCTTTGCCTGCAAGGTGAAACATGAGGAACCTCCCACGATGGCAGTTTCATCTCAGGAAGGGGTCAGCAGCTGCAGACAGGCCCTGGGACCTTCTGGAATTTGTGTGCTGACCCCCCTCATGGCTGCTCATGTTGGTGCTATCTGTCATATACATAGTCAATCACAGCTGTGGTGCAGATGGGGCCTGACCTCCTGGTGAGGTTGATAAGTTCAGGGGTTAGAGCAAGAAGAGTGGGTGGTTGGGACTGCTATCCTAGGAGGGACTACCACAGATGGCACGGGACTGAGTTAGTCCTCGTGAGGGTGGGCTGATATGAAGAATGAGGCTCTTCCCTCCCTGCTCTTTCCCCAGCCTACAGTGACTTTTGCTTTCACAGATGCTCCCACCTACAGCCACACTGAGCTGGCCCCATGCTCCTCGGTCTCCAAAACTGAGCCCAGAAACCTCTTGTCTTCACAAGGCAGCCTGCCTCGGTATTCTGTTATAGCAGTGATGCAGAGACACCCACCCCTACGAAGCCACCTGCTGTGCTTGGTGAGGGGAGAAGGGCGTCCCACTGCACTGAGAGGGAAGGCAGAAAGGGGCCAGGAGCATGTAGAATACCAAGGCCCTGTGAGATGATATAGCAGGAAGCCAGCCTGAGCTAGGGGATGTAGGGGTCTAGCAAGGTAGTTACCTCATGGTAGCGCCCTCGGAGGTCCAGGATGTCTCGCTTGGTGACAGACCAGTGGAAGGTCAGGCCTGGCACAGCATTTCCGAAGGAGAATGGACTCTGGCTGTTGGTGATCCCCGTGACATAGACAGGCATCTAGGGCAGAAGCCAGGCCTGATAACCACCAGCAGTCCCAGCTCTGGGGACTCTTCTCCCCTAAGAAGCTTTCCCTGTTCTGAACTATCCCCTGTGGCCCTGGGGTGTCTGCAGCCACCTGAAGTAGCACAGCTCACCCGTGCCATAGCTCCCCTGGTGTGGGAGGTGGCTGTGGGCACTGGCTGGAAGGATGTGAAGATGGACTCGCGGGGATGAATGCCAAGCCTGAAGGAAAAGCCTCACAAGCACCCACCCAGTGTGGAGGAGCAGGGCCTGAGCTGAGTAGAGATGAATGGCAGCTCCACAGAGGAAGTGGGAGTGTCTCACACAGAGAACCGTGCTATCCCAGTGGTGAGTTCCAAGCCAGGGTGGGAGCCCAAGACCCCCAGTGCCCACCTTCTGCCTTACCTGCGTGCCTGTCCGCATGCGTGTGATGGGAGCCCGGATCCTCACTGCCTGAAGCTGCAGCACCTCCACCTCCACAAGGTCCTAGGACAACGGACCCAGGGTTCAGGCTGGCTGGGGAGGCTGGGGCTTCTGCTCAGAGTTGCAAGGCTTGAGGGCAGCAGCCATGGGCAGGCTTGTTCTGGGGAAGTCCCTCCTGCTCTGTAATGTGTGGGCCCAACTGACCCAGCTGCTCAACTGGGTCATCACAGTGGACCCAGCACAGAGACCAGAGTCTGCTCTTCTCAGACTGGGCAGCTCTGCTGGGCTGGTTCTCAGATCTTCCAGCTACCGTCCTTCATCCTGACCACTGACTCCTATTAGTCTGACCAGAGACCAGCTGCTTTGGGTTCTTCCTGCCCTCTGCTCCTCTCACAGCTCGCCCCATCCCTCCCTCCCTGTGGCTACTGCTGGTTCTGTGGCCTGGCTGGATCCATGGCACCAGAAACCTCAGAATCACATGCTCAGCATGGGCACACCTACCCAGCTTCTCAGACTCAGCTGGTGGCCCTTGTGCTGCTGAGGACCATAGGACCTTCTCCAGCCCTGCCTGGGGCCTGGCAAGGTCAGACATGAAGAACAGAGAGGGCCACTGAGAACTCAAGCTGGGCACCTCTGGTTGAATTTCTTGCTGCCTGCCCTTCTGGCCACCCGGATCCCAGAGAGGAAGATAAGCCAGTTCCTGAAGCCCAAACTGTTTCTTTCAGGCGAGGGAAGCAGGGCTTCCGGGGCTCCTGCCCTGTACTCTCCAGGCCACCTGTCTGCACCAGGCACACCACCAGGGGACAGTCCCATACTCCACGCTTTTGTACTGTTTTTGCAACATCAATTCACAGAAATTGTGGCATCGAGCCCAGCCACTTCAAAAGCCTTTGTGGTTTAACCGGGACACTTGGAGGGCAATGCTGGAACTGCTGCAAAAAGGAGCCAGCAGTGAACCCTGTGAGGGATCAAAGTCAGCCCTGGGCCGTGTGGCCCCCTGCAGGGCAGCACACTCGCCTGGGCCTGCAGGATCTGTGCTCAGATGCTCTGAAGCAGAGCCCTCCTGGGTGGATGAGGGGCGGGGATGACAGGCATCTGAAAGGGCCCTCATCAACAGCAACACTGAGAGTGACCCCACTCTGTCCTTAGCAGAACAGCTTCTGGTGTGGCTGTGAGAGTACCACAAAGTGGAGTTCCTGCCATGTCCCTGCCATCATGGAGGGCTGAGGTGTCAGGGACCCACATGCCCTGTGCTTCTCATCCCTCAGCTTTGCTGGGGATCGAGACCAAAGAGCATCCACCCTGAGAAAGAACAAAATGGGTGCCTCTGCACCGAAGAGGGTAGGGGCAGCACTCCTGTGGAGAAGACCGCTCAGACTTGGCCCTCCAGCTCCTGTGACTGAGAAAGGAATCCAGAAATGATCCCATGCCAGCAAAGAGACTAGGTGCCAACTTAGCCTCCAGTGGAGCAAAAGACATTCATGGGTGACTTGGGTTTTCTAGCTTCCCTGAAATACAAACCCAGGTCTTAAAAAACCCTTGGTTTGTAGTTGTCCATACTGACAGTGCACACCTCTGTCACACACACACACACACACACACACACACACACACACACACACAGAGCGTGCCATCCACAGTGCCTCTTCTTTTCCTACTCAAATCCTCAAGGAAAAGGTGCCGAGAGCCCAGTGTTCTGACATCCTGGAGCGCGCCGTGGTGGCCATGGCTGCTGGCTGGTTTCTTAGATAACTCATAGGCAGAGTAGACGGTAGCACAATACATGAGGGTTCCCAAGGATGGTGGAGGGGAAGCCAAAGTATTTGCCTGCATCTCAGTTGCCACCTGGGAACCCCCTTGGGTGGGAACTCGAAGGTTGTGTCCCATGTGATACAGCTAGAGACATGGGGAGACCCAGCCTGATGAGGGGCAAGCTCAGGCTGCCCTCGGCAAGGGTAACAAGGGCTGCACCCTTTGCCACAGTGGCCTAGCACCCAGGATGCCCACCCTGGAGGTCTCTACCCCAGGGCGGGTTTGAAGGGTTCAAGCCCTGGCAGTGCATTAGATACCTGAGAGATGACGATGACCTTGCCAGTCTCTGCGTCCACAGCTTGCACGACTCCAGACACGGTGCCGTTGCCAACAGAGAGTCCCTGCACCAGCCCAGTGCCACCCACAACTGCGATGCTCTCATTGCTGATGGAGAAGAGGATGTTGGACTGGGGCTGTGGGCCGCCCTCCGAGGAGATCTGAGGGTGAGAAGTCATGGTGACTGTCATCACCTGTGTCCATGCCCACTCACCCACCTGTCACGCAGCCAGGACAGGGCCCCTGGAAGCTGCATCCCCGGGGCCTGGCAGGGGTGCAGAATGAGATGGACAGGACAAGCCCTGAGCACCCACCTGCATCATGGCCCCGATAATCAGCGTCACCTTCCTGGGCATCAACCGGAATGGGGGGAAGACCTAAGGTGGAGACAGAAAGAAGGGCCTGAAGGCTCAAGCTGAGGCCACACACACTGCACACTCAGCATTCCTCAGAAGGGGCAGACAAGGGGTGTGGGCAGCTCCTGAGCTACTTCTGGTGTGGCCTGAACCCCACCCAGTCAACCGAGGCTCTGTGCTCCCTGGGGCATGTTCTGCTAGTTCATTTGAGGCGGCAGCCTAAGCAGCAGTTTTCAAAGTGTGGTCAGCAGCCAGCAGCATCGGTGTTGCTGGGGACTTGTAGAACACACGCTGTGGCCCACGTGAGATGTCTGGAGCAAGAAGTGGGCCCTGGGGTCTGGGACCTGACAAGTCTTTCAGGCATACTGGTGCATGTCCAGGCTTATGATGCTCTTGCATTCGACAGTCTCCTTACTCTTCTTTCCAATGTTGCTTCGGTCAGAATCTTCAAACTTCTAATGAGATAAAATGCCTTTCAACAGCGCCCTTCTTCAGAGGCCTTTTCTGACTAGGAAAGAGGGAGCAGCCAGAGTGGACAGGAACGTGAATGCACTGGCTCTGTGCAAGGCAGAGACCTGCATCCTCCTCAGGCGTCCCCCTGAGTGCTGCTGTGCATGGCGGAGAAGCTGTTGTATGCCCAAGGAGTGGTTTAGCAGGCTGAGCTATTTATAGGTGGAGATGAATTCCTCTGCACAGTAGAAGGAAGGTGCACTTCCATCTGGAGACACAACTGCCTCCCCTAGCTTGGGAATACAGACTAACAAAGCTGGTCGGGGCCATCCAGTCCAGGCCCCCAGTGGAGGCAGGCAGGAGCCAGTCTCAGGCTGCTGCTAATGGAGGTACTGAGGCAGGGTTTCCTGGCTATGGTTGCCCTGGTCTCTGGCTACAGTGCAGTGATCCTGAAAACCTAATGAATGACACGTGATAGGCTCATGTCACACACAGAGACCACACAGAGACCTCAGAGCTTGCCTCATGCAAGAACTGGCTGCAGCAGGCGTTGACTTTCAGCTCCCTATGCTTGCATGGCCCCTGTGGCTGGTACCCACTGCCCTCCAAGTACCCAGCCTAAAGATTGAAACAGATAGCTGGGTTCTCCCATTCGCGATCCAACATGTGCCTGGTACCCGTCCTTGGCCATGTTTGCCAGTAACAGTCCCTGCCTGTGCCCTGGCTATAGGATAAACCTCACCCCTCCTCAGAGTCTCACAAACCTCCTGCATCACAGAGTGGTGTGAAAGTCAGCCGGCCCTCCCCTTACGGTGCTGCCCTCAGACCCCATGACTGATCCAAGGCCAGGGCAGGCTCTCTGTGGTGGCTTCCTGGACTGCTTACTGCTCCCAGCCCATCCCAAAGGCACACACTTCCCCCACCAGGAAGAACCCATGTTACTTCGATCTGTTGTGGGGCTGAGGTGATCCTCTGTCCAGCTTTATCAGTCACACTGGCAGTCAGACTGGTCTGGCCAATGGCCACGCCGTGCACAAGGAATGCAACTGTGTAGTCGTCAAGGGCCTCGTCGAGGGCTCTGAAACAGAGGGGAGTACTGGGATCCCTCCTTGGGAGAGGTGGAGGCAGGCCCATGCTGTCCCTGAGGTGTCCTCCCTGATCCCTGGTGGAACTCACACTAGTGTGACAATCTGGGAGGCTGCCCGGAGCTTCAAATCCATGAAGGCGAAGTACTTGGCCAGAAAAGGTTTCTTGTAAGAGTCCAGCACGCGGATGTGAGCCTTGACTGTTTTCCCAATCTCCACCTGTGACACGAGGGACAGAGGCTGGGGGTGGCATCTCTTCAGTGGACCAGTTCCCCAAATGTGGCACCCATGACACTATGTCAGCTTTGCTGACCTAAAACCTAGGGACCTGAGAACGTGGGGACTCAACCAGTATGACATCTGGACTCAGTCAGCCAATGAACAAAAAGCATCCAAATGCTTGCTGTGCACCAGGGTTGGGGTCTGGAGAAGCACAGATTCTATTCCATATTCTTAACAAACTAAGAATCTAAGTAGGGCGATACAGTGCTTAGAACAGCCTCAGGTATACAGAAGGAGCTCAATAAATGCTCACTGACCCAACAGCTCACACCTGCAGCAAGTAGAGAGCAGTAAGGCTTAATGAAAACAGAGAATTCTAGTAAGAAAATCAGCAGCGGAAATAGGACAGTTAGAGGAATATTTGAAGCTGGGTAAGAAAATACTCACTTCCTAGCTAATAATACACTGTAGCTGAGGAGTCTAAGCTGCACAATGTTCCCCTATTCATTACCAACCACTGCATCTACTTAGAAAAGCAGAAACCTGACAGCAGTGCTCTGGAAGCCTGGCTTCACTTAGCTCAGCTGTTTGGAGTCATTAAAAAAAAAAAACCAACTATTTACAAGAAAGAAAAACCTATGCCTATTCTTTATCCGTTTTGTAAGACAACTTAGAATTAGTGAGTTTTACTCATTTGCCCCTGAAATACTAGAGGATCCAGCTCCTGTATTGTGGGGGAAAACTTCCTGCTCTGCAAGGTGTGTGCCTGGCTGTGCAGTCACCACCGTGAGCTAGAGAAAACAAATTCCCACGTCAAGGACAAAGGAGAGCCAACCTGGAGCAGAATTTACTGCCAAACCTAATGTGTGTCAACTTGGGATGAGGACATACAACTTCAAATGCAACGCTGCCCCTCCCACACAGTGTGAAACCAGGATGAACAGCAACAGCCATGAGGACAACACTGTCACAGCCGTGGGGCTTTTTTAGTTTCTATGGATCAGCAGAGGGATTGAATCAGGAAGCTTCCACCAACCTTGTCAACCACTCGGACGTACAGCTCCTGAATGTCTGAGACATGAATGATAGCCTTTGCTGGGGACGAGAAGGCCAGGCACAAGTCGTGGATCATGAGGGTTGCGGAGCCCGGGAGCAAAGGGTGCACCTGTGAGGTAAGAGTGGCTGGGTCACAGAACTGCAGGATGCCTCTCTGCTCAGGAGCCTTGAGCAGTGCCTGGCCTACTGGGAGGCCGTCATCTGGGGATCACAAGGCCAAGGACAGTCCTACCCCAAACAGGGTTCTGCCCACCTTGGGCCAGGCAGCATGAGCTGGGAATATAAACAGAGACAACATTGATCTAACTGGACATTTTATGGAGAGAAGAAAATAAGCATCTGCATGTTACACATTCCTCTGCTCCACACAGGTTTGCTGCCACTTATCGTATTGCCTGGGCATGCATTTTACCGGGGTGGTTTTCTGAGCTGGGCAAGCAGGAACAAGTCAGGAGGCTGTGAGGGAGCACACAGGCTGTCACACACCCAGGCATGGAGTTGTTGCTTGCAGCCTACTGTCTCACGTGTTGGGGGAGATAAGCAGGGAAAGGAGGGTGAGGTATACAGTGAACAGTTTATTATCTGCCCAGCTACAGTCTCAGCATCAGCAGCCTGTAAAAATCCATTGGGGACTCAAAGGAGTTGCCATCTGTAACAGCTTTACATCTGGGCTAAAGTTCTTTAGCAGCTGCCTAGTGCTCAGCACAGAGCTAGGCACAGGTTGGGTGCAGCCTCTTGGTGCAGTGTCACCCCACAGCACACTGCCCTATGGCCCTGGAGCTCCATCACACTGGTCTTCTGAGCTGCTGCCTGCCTGCCTCCGGGCCTTGTGGAGAAGCCTGGGACTCTTGGACCCGGGGTGCCGCTCAGTGGTCCAACTTGCTTAACATTCACAAGATCACCCCTAGCACTTAAAATGATGGTGTGGGGACTCTTCTTGTCCCAGCCTTACCTGGTGGCTCCAACTGAACCTTCAAGTGCTGGTTTCCCTCACCATCCTAGTGGCTCACTGCCATTTGTAATTCATTCTGGATGCCGGCATCTCTTCCACTCACCCTTCCCCTTTGGGCTGTCCTCAGCCCACGGTACCTCAGGAGGAAGCTGCATATCCACACAGCCCAGCCCCCTGTGCCTGTGCCTTGATTAGATAAAGGGTCATGGCTCTGAGGGATTCTGATAAAGCACAGAGACTCGATGTTGCTTCAGTCTGTCTGGCTGCATCACAGGCAGCAAAACGAGCTTAGCTAAGAAGGACTTGGAAATTCCATTAGAAAGCTCTGCAAAGGCCACAGGCCCGCATCCACTTGGGAAGTACTGATTGTTACCTGACTCCTTTGACAGACACATGGAGAAACTGAGCCCAAGATGATGTGATAGGAACAGGGCTTTGAATGGATAGTGCTGGGGACCAGGCGCAGGTTGCCTGGCTCCCAGTCTAGGGCTTCCTCTACCATACTCTCCACTTCCTGGGGGAACAGGGCCACCACAACAGAACCTCCTGGCAAGGGAGGAGGCAAAGGAGACAGCAGAGAATGGCTCTAGTGAGCAAGGCCCAAGCCCACAGGAAGCTGGAGGCATGCAGGACTGGCAAGCTGAGCCCAGCCACCAACAGCCAGCATAATAGAGCTCAGGGGCACAGCCACACAGACAAGGGGTGCATGGGCCATTTCCTAAGATAGGTTCCAGTAGATCAGCCCAGACCCCAGGGTGAGAGCCATGCTTATGCTCCAAAATGACAGGGACGGGATCTGAGTTGTTGCTGCACTTGCCAGTTTGGTATTAAACGGAGGCCAAGCAGTGGTCAGGGAGCCACCAGGTGCCTGAGTTTGCTGAGAATGATTATTACACTTCCCCCAGAGGAAGCCCACTGCTAAATTACAGGGAGGAGCAGAGCTTTCTCTGAGAACACAATGTGAGGCCCTGATCCGATGCTCACACAGAAGCTGCTGCTGTCAGAAGCTGGCACGTCCTTCACAAGGGAAGGAAATTACAGAGCGCCCACTGCCACCAGACCCACACAGAATACAGGCAAAGTCCCTCCCCCCCCACTACCAAGGAACTGTTTCGCATTTTTCAAGCATAGCCATAAAATGGTGGTGGGGAAATCATTTCTTCTTCCACTCCATTTCCCAGAGGATGGATGTCTTGCTACCTCTAGATGACAGAAGCAGGGGAAGGTGTCAAGCTGCAGTTGCAGGAGGGCCTGGCTTACCCCACATCCTGGCGCACATCAGCTCCCATCAGCTCCCTCAGGGGGGCTCTGGAGGCTTCTCAATAGACAGATGCTGTATATGGGGAAGCCAAAGGCATGGCTGCCAGCTGGTGGCAAAATGGCATGAGTCTGACCAGACTGCACAAGTGGCCCACACCACCCTGCTCCTCCAGCCATCTGTCTGGGGCCCAGGTGCTTCTTGACAAGAATGCTTGGGAGAGAGAGGAGGCGGGGTAGTCTGTGCCAAGAACAAATCCTGATTTCTAAGTGTTGAAGGTGCCACCTGAGAACGTCAGCGGTAACTGAGCCCAAGGGAGAGTCCTGTCATCGGCTGGGAGACAGCGAGTGCATTACTGCTCATTAAGAAGCTGCGACACCCGGAGGCGCTCACCAGGTCCCAAGGTTCTGGCTGCGTCCTCTCAGCTCCCCCCTTTCCTGGGCTCTGATCACATCTCAAACTTGTCTCCTGACAGGGGTGCTCTGGAAAGGAGTGAAGATCCTACCAGTATTTCTGAATCTCACTGGAGCCACTGGCTTCCATTTCCTCTGGTGGGCTTGGCCGTGTTGTGTGGTGAGCCATGCCCTGCCTGCAAGAGGGTCAGACTGTGTGCAGGGTGCCCTGCCCTCACAGCCCGCAGAGAATGATGGAACTCGTACAAAATCAAGGCACCAATGAGGGCCAGCTCTGGATCCTTGAGGGTGTGGCTGGGGGCATGCACCATGAGCCAGAGGCCAGACTCACGGACACACTGCGTGCAAGTTCACGGATAGCCTCTCAGCCACCACTTCCCATAGGCCTCACTCCCAAAGCACCTACCCGGATGCTCCACAACAGTATGATGCCACCTGTCAGAGAACCAGGACAGACCACAGCTTGGTCATTGCTGTAGCCCTGGCACCCAGCACAGCTCCTGGTGTATGGCAGGCACAGGAGCACTGCTGAATCAACACACTGACTGGAAGTGTTAAGTGCTCGGTGCAGTGGGTCACTTCCTTCCCCTTGCTCTTACAATAACGCAGGCTCTGCTCAGAGCACTCCTCTTGAAATGCAGGGAATTGCTGAGAAGACAGAAGCTATAAGTTTAAATCAGGTAAACACCCCTCTGTGCCAGCCAGCCGAAAATGAAATAAAGGCACCCTTGCAAGCAGAAGTAATCACAGCCCCACACAGCCCAGTGCATTGTGTGGGCATAAAGCGTGCCACCAAAGCCCTATTGCACGACACACACTTATCTTGCAGAGACACTGCCAGGAAGCTGCGCACACCCAGGGGCCATTCTTGTGTCCCGAATGTGCATCAGTAAGGAAGAAGGAAGCGTTTTCTAGGAGCTGAGTGAGGAACGGCTGTGGGCTTTCTTAGAGTCTGTGATTAAGGGAAATGAGAATGCGGCTAATTAGCAGCTGGAAAATGCCAAAAGAATGTGTGAATGTGTCCTTCAGAAGCAGCTCTCTGAAGGAGCTGTGAGGACCCATCACAGATTCTCAACACTGTCTAAAATCCTTCCTGTGGGTTATGGGACCAGGTTGCACCTAGAGTTGTGGGGCTCTGCCACAAGCCCTGGACAGGAGGAAGCAGAAGCTGCTGGTCAGATGCTGCATGGGATCTTCGGGGTGAGAAGCAGTTCTCAGACGCCAGGTGCCAATGAACACAGTGCCAGCCTAGTCCTGAGGCCACACATGTCTGGGGCCCTCTGTTCCATTCAATAAGAGCCCACAAAGGCAACGTGGATGGGACAGTAACCTGTCCACATGACAGAAGGAGAACTGCAACAGTTCTGCCTCGGCCTTGTGTAACATGGGACACTCCATCTGTTTCTGTTGACAACCCAGAGATAATCTGGAATGGCAGGGTTTTGGGACTGCACAGGGGCTCAAAGCTCTCCTGGAGGAACTCAGTTCTGGCGCTGGACTCTCACCTTGACTCTTCCAACAAGTGTCCTGGCTTCTGCTTAAAGAGCTGCTGGCCACCTACAGAGGCAGCCCAGGCCACTGCTGACTCCTAGGCCTGGACAAGTGTCTCTCTTCAGACACAGGTCTGCCCAACAGGCTTAGTCAAGTTGCCCTGCACCAGATCAATGAGGTGTCACCTGCAACATTCACACCTTTCCTAACCTGAATGCCTCATCTAGATAACACAGGTGTTGTGATTGATCTCTAGAAGGGCAGCAAGACAGGGCACATTTTCAGCACTCAGAGTCACTTACAATGGAAGGTTTTCCTTTTATTATCAAGGGCTTGACAAGGCACATTCCTCAACTGGCAGTAGGTAGAATGGCTGCGGAATTACTTCTTTCACAAAGGGAATAAAAATCCTGAGTGATGGAGACCACTACAAGGTGGCTCTAAGCAGGATTTATATTAACCAATTGGCTTTTCATGTTTACGTGTCAGCCTGCCCAAGGCCTAGGCCCTGTGTCTGGAGATGGGCAGTGGACTCGCAGTAAGGGATCTCTATGAGTCACTGGTTCCAAGAGTGACTGAGGCCTGTAGTGGCCTGTGATGCCAGATTCTTCAAAGGACAGGTCAAGGCCACAGCTCCCTAAGGACACATGGCCCCAACCTCAAGGGACTAAAGACTGTAGCTGCAGACATCTCATTCCTGGGTGGAGATTTTCCTGGAGATAACACAGTTCTCCTAAATTAACACAATGCCTTACTTGGAGAAGCCCTGGAGAGATTTTCACCTTTCTTCAGTATTTTCCTCCCTTGTTTGATAGCTAAATAAACAGGCTGCCCAGAGAAGATCTCTCTTAGGCCCGGAGAATCTCAAATGGTGTGAGAGGGTTTTTGATTCTCCTGGAGCCCTGTAATTATTCTATTTGTCTCTTTTATTTAACCTTCACCATCCACTCACTTGGGAGATTGCAGTTCTGATCCGTCCACAGTAACTAAAGGAT